TCTAGGGTTAGTTGGGAACCAATGATCAGATGAGTTGGTTCCAAGGCTTACGTACGATCGTACAACTTCTTTTTTACAGGATGTGTGTATACGTACAACTAGCAAAACTACTCCCTCCCTTCTATAACAAGTTGGGCAGTGCAACGCGTCGGCCGGCAGATCTTGAATCTTTTTAAAAGCTCCGCCGCCTTGTGAGACGTTAGATATGATGGATTGAGCGGCGAGCATCATCCTCTACCACTGCACAAAGGTTGTGTTGCAGTAATTTTCTGCAACACGGGTCATGTTGCAGAAATTTTTGCAGAACATAGGTCATGTTGCAAATTTATTTTTGCAACAGAGCTCATGTTATAGTTTTTTTAACAGAGGTCATGTTACAGTTTTTTTTTCAGCAGAGGTCATGTTACAATTTATTTTCTTTGCAATAGAGGCCTTATTGCAATTTAATTGTTTTTGTAACAGAGGTATTGTTGCAGGGTTTTTCTGCAACAAATGCGTTGTTGCAGAAAAGAGGAGTGAAGTCTGTTTTGAACCCTAAGGTTGTAGACCGTGGCGCAAATGAACCCTCACGTCTGAATCCCTGAAGTCCATACCCTATACTCTTAGATCCCAGTCAATCTAAACCCTACACCGATCCTATACCTCTTTGGAAGGATAATCCCGATCTGGATCAGCCGTTTCTCTCACTGTCCACACGGGCCTATGTGTCATATTAGGGGGGGATGCGCCGGAGCTGTTGTTGCTGCTGCTGCCGGCGAGATTGTTTTGCCCTCACCGCCGCATCGACTGGAGCATCGCGGCCGTTAGCATGCCTTCTCACGCCACGGCAGGGTGGAGAGGCTGAGTGTGAGGAAATGGCACGAAACAGCTCGCTAACTATGCGGCCGACGACCTGTCCGAGCGTGAAGCCACTGATGTTGGAGCCCCCTGGCCGCCTCCATATCCTCTTGGTCCGCGGTGGGGACGATTTCTAGCGATGATGTGTTTACTGGGATTCCACTATATGCTGCTCTGCTCGCGGTGGTGCACTGAAGTCGATGCGGCTGTCCACGGGCACGGGGCATGCGCACGGCGCTGACTTCAGTGCGCGCGTGGCCTCGACGGCCGTGAACTACTAATTGCCGAGGAGGTCCAATGTCACGCACTACAGCACGAGCTTCACAACCTATGGCCGATTCGTGAGCACGGGTGGCCGGCCTAGTTCATGTACCTCATGTATGCCAACATCATCGCCATGACCGTGCTTGTGACCTTGTGTTCGATATGTGCATGGCCTCGACCGACGTTGGCAACGTGTTCACGGCCACCGCTTTGAGGCTGAGCTATCCGCACGCACATGCTACTCTTAATTCTCCGCCGCTGCAAAGGAAAAAGTCTAAAATAAACCTTGAACTAGTAGGTAAAAGCCAAATCGAACCCTAAACTTGTAATTTCGGGAATCAGCACACAAAACTCTTTAACCCCGGTCTATTTTGAACCCTGAGAACGTTCCCAAACAGGAATTGTGGACGTGGCAGATCAAATACCGAGATTGTTGGCTGCAGACGCGATTGGGCCGGCCCATCGGGCGTGAAGCAATGTTTTTCTTTAATTCGTTTCTATAAGGCGCGACGTAAAAGCAAAAGTAGACACTTCGGGATATTGAACTTGCGACTAGGCGCTGCTGCCCTCCACCTGCCAGCCACCTGAGTACGTGGCTGTTAGTGATATATAATTCGAAGCTCAAACATAGTTAATAACAGACCGCAAAGTCGGCATTGAAAACATTTTTTAGAGCAAATTTTTTAAACGTATTTTGTTTAAATGGCCGAACATTTTTTAAAGTGCGAACTTTTTCATCAAATTCCGAATACTTTTGACAAAAGAAACATTTTTTGAAAACACAATCAGTTTTTTGTTCTCTTTTTTTGTTTTTTGAGGGAATTATTTTCAAACCTGAGTTTCTAATGTAATACACGTGTTTGGAAAAAAAGTTACCGTGTCACATTTGAAAAAAATGGAATTTCTCAAAATTGTTCACATTTTGTTTCAGAAATATTTAAAAAAATCAGGAATGTTTTCATATATGAACGCTTCTGTTAGTTTTTTAAAACGAAGCCCTGTCTATAATCGCTAGCAGCCGTCGGGGTTACTGGTAAGGTGCGTCTTTGCTAGTGTGTTGTCCTGAGTTCAAGTCCTCCTACGTGTAACTTATTTTTGCGTCTGCTGGTATTTTTTGTCACTCCTAAGACAAGTGAGTACCCCTTAGGGGAAGACAAAGTGGGTATGTGTAGTTCTAAAAGGTGTGTATTGTGATTACCAAAATGTAAACTAGAATTTATTATCTTTACGAAAATGAAAAAGAAAGAAAGAAAACGAAAAAAACTAAACAAGGTAGAGCAAGCGAGCAACTCTGCTAATGGGCCAGCCCAATTCGTCCTAATGTCCAGCCAGCCCCTACCACGTCAGCAAATACCAGTTAAATACCTTCAAGGTTTAAAATAGACCGGGATTGAAGAGTTCGGTGTGCCGATTTCCGGGATTACAAGTTCAGGGTTCGATTTAGCTTTAGTCTACAAGTTTAAGGTTTGTTTTAGACTTTTTCCCGCTGCAAATCATGCGAGCACGCGTTTCTCCTCCCCTGCCCTCCGCATGCAGGTCCGACAGCACGTCGCCATGGAGGTTGCGCTGACAACGGAGATGTTTATCGCATGCGCGCTCAGCGAAGATGCGTTGTACAAGCGCCTCGCGGCACCTAGGTGTGTACTGGGGCTTGCATCCTGTAGATGACCGCCCACGGGAAGCCGCACCCGGCGTGGCGGCTTGAGGTGCAGGAGAAGTCGACAAGCCTGATGCGGACGCCGGCGCCTCCCACAGATTGAGACAGAGAGATCGGGGACGGATTAGAAGATTAATGTGACACATGGGCCCGGGTTGTCAGTGACTGTGCAGAGTGATCCCGGTCGGGATCTTTATTTTCCCGGTGCGCCAAATGGATTCAGGGTTTAGATTGACCGGGATCGACGACTACAGGGTACCGACTTTAGAGATTTAAACGTGGAGGCTCATTTGCGTCGCGCTCTACAACCTTAAGGTTTAAAATAAACTTCAGTCCAGAAAAGAGGGATCATGGGGCCAGCTCATCACGTCATGTGGGACGCGTGGTATGCAATTAAGGCGGCAGACACAAGCTTGTTAGTCCACGGTTGAACCATATCGTTTCCCACGTTTCTAAGGTTCTATAAAGTTGATGAAAGTTTATAAGGTTTGATTTTCGACAATTCTAATACACATTTTGGGATGGAGAGAGTACCATAATTTTCATGCTCCAGCCAATGCAAGAGGGTAAAAATTATGCAGTTTATTTTATTATAATCAGTAGTGACTATAAATTCATTGATGCCCACACAAGACATACATTGTATTTTTGCTCCTTAAACAATTGATATGCCCTGGTTGGCAAACAACCCGCTCGTGGACTCTTAAGACAATCAAAACTAAGTTCTGTAACCATCAGCTCAGATCGACTGCGAGCATCATGAAGAAAACAAAGAGAAACCATTATATCTTGATCACATCATTATTTCAGGAGCGTTCCTTTCTTAAGGCATCTCCAACGGCAACCCGCAAAAAACTCCTGCATCCATCTGCAGACAGGGACGATCAGTCAGCGGACACGGATACGGGAGATTGACATCCAACCGTAGTCGCATACATCCAGCCTTTTAAAAAAATCCTAGTCTTGCGCATCAGGGGCAAAGTAGTCGGCCATCAATGTCAAATGTATGCGCCCTGTTGCGGTTGAGCACTCGATAACCCTTGATCGAGTCCTTAAAATTGAGAACATGCTCCTCCGCACGCTTCGCGTCTTCAAGGACTGCCGACATTATCGTCGTCTCATCGAAGTACTCCTCCTCGTCTGACGAGCCATCAGAGGTCAACATACTGGTTGTATATATACTTCAAATCGGAATTCATTGCTACAAACAAGAAGGGACAACTGTTTTCAGCTCCGGCGATTCAGCGAATAGTTGCCGGACATGATAGAGGATGGTACCTGGTGAGGCGGTCGGAGGACAGGGGGTTCAAAGGAGACGGAGGAGAAGCGGCGGGGAGCTATGCTGGATCGTCGGTGGTGACGGAGGCGCAGATTTCCGGCGGGGTGTGGCGTGGTGGTGGAGCGGCGGCGACGGCAAGAGAGAAAGAAGGAAGGAGAGAAAATGGAAAGGATGGAGCCACGGGGTCCGGGAAGGGTTTTGGGTGGGCCTGGGTGTTGGATTCGTATGTTTCGCGTGTCCGGACTTCCGCAGACCTCCCCCACTTTTGTCTATGTTTTGCGGGAAAAATCGCATCCAGACCGCCCCGCGGACCGATACAGGACCGCATTGGATGGCTTCCGCGGTTCGGACAGTCTGCCTTGGACATGGCCTTATATGCAAGGAATTCCATGGACATTTTTCTTCAAGGAAGCACATCGATGTAGCACGGACGGTAAGTAAACGTACGAATGATGCGATGACAATGCCACCAGCGTAAATCGGACTTTGCGTCCAACACGTTGCATGCATCGCCGGATAATCCTGAAGAAGACGAGCACCCAGGTGTAACTGGACCCAAATGTAATCTCAACTATATATAGGCTAAAATTTCCTTTAACACAAACCAAAAATTCGGCACCCAATAATATCATAAGTTCATCGTGTATATATCGGCCGACAACCTGACAAACTGCAACCCGCAACAAGACAGATAAAAAATATCCACGGGAGCAACGGAAGAAGTTACAGTGGCCGACAAACTGAAGCAGCAGCACACTGAACCTGGCCAAGGAGAGAGTTCTTCCAAAGGAGGGAAAGCAACCACACAAACTCGTGTATATTTACATGCCCAGGAGGAGTTTTGGGGTTTAATTACACAGCCAGCACGCATAAACGCCCATACGTTCTGCGGCATCGGCTATTTCTCCATTGCATACACTAGTTTCAGGATACATCATCCGTCAGGCGGGATGGTTATCATCATCAGCCCAATCGAGCATTTCCGTGAGGAGCCGGACTCGGGTGGTTGCCGGCGACAAGAATGTCCTTGATTCGGTTAAGCGGTACGGTGGCCTGGTTGATTCTCTGAAAAGTAAACAAGTGTTTGATGTTCATTAGAACTCTGCTACCAGTTGGAGCAGTAAAGCTGAACATGGTAGTGCAAATTTGACACTAACAAAAGTTGCTAAAATAGAAATGTCTGCGAAATTCTGATAGGCTACAGACGAACTCAGACAGGAGTTACTGAAGTCAAAATATCTTGGAAATTCTGGTAATATTGAATAGACAACAAAACGTAATAGGCAGAGCTTTCATATAAGCACAGGGAAAATGAACATATGAATATGGATATCCAACAACCCGTAATACTATCGGAATTAGAGAAGGCAAGAGTCTGATGTTTCCTCACAATACTATCAGAATAATATTGGACGGCCAACAGAAGAGAAGATAACAGGCAGAGCTTTTAAGCACAGGGAAGAGAACATGCATGGTTCATCAATCAGTAATAGTATCTGAATGACACAGGCAAAAATCTAATATACTTTTTCCTTGCAGCTATATAGATAACTTTGATCTACCTGAACAAAAGAGAACTTTGATGAAAGCAGCACAAATAATAGTTTGAGATAGAAATATATGCATGCTATCACCTACCTGAATTTCAGGCCAAACTAGTCTGTTCAGTTGCATGGAAAATTTGGCTAGTATGATCAAAAGGAAGGCGTCCCACGATTACCTCCTTGCTGCTGGCAGGTTGCAATTTGACCTGCTGAAGCTGCAGCTTGCCCTTCTGCCAGCGCCGCCGGAAATACGCCATCCCCATCAGAGCAGCAGCAGCCACAACGATAGGCCAGAGCTTGTTGCTCTCTTTAGCGCTCCTGTAGAGCGATATAAGTTGCTTCTGCCACCATGCATTGCGTGGGGCTCCAGAACCGTCAGGCTTGCTCTCGTCACCGGAAGCAACAATATTGGACGAATCAGTGACAGGGTCAATATTTTGGAGAGTTGGACTTTCTTCAGTCTTCTCCTTGGCACTCTCGGTAGCTTCTTTCTCAGCGTCAGTTGCATTGTAACCAGAGGATGAGAACGTAACTGGGTCTTTTCCAACCAGACTACCCCTGTGCAACTCGCTGCCATCATCAGGTTCCATATCAACAGAGGAAAGGCTTTTCCCTTTGTCGAAGGACGGGATCCTGTCAAGAACATCATCCTTCAGTTTCTCCTGCGGGTCTTCCTCCCTATCACCATCATCACCCTTGTCAGAGACTGCGTACTGGCTGCCGCGCGCCTCCTGCTGCTCTATGCTAGTATCAGCTCCCATGAGGAGATTCTCAGCCTCATTCTGCGGAACCGAGAAGTGGCCAGACATCAGCAGTGCCGCGGCTGCCGAATCACCCCCTTCTGCGCCATACACTTGGCCTTCAGACTCCTCGCCAGAAGGTTCAGTTCTAGCCGGGCCAGGCGCAGACGCGTAGTTCGACGCGGTGAGCTGCACGACCTCCCAGTCGTTCCCACGGGGAGAAGTCTGCCCGGTGCCACTCTGGTCAGGCTCCATCTTCCAGCTGCAGAGATCAATCAAAGTCAGGAAACTCATGACAAGCAATTTAGCCAGAGACATGCAGGTTTCAGCAAAGGAATGATAACTTGCACTCTTGTCCAGTAGTATAAAATTAAGCTGTGCAGTTTCGCAGTTACTCCTACCTGTGACTGGAAATTTATAATAACTGATCCGTCAAAACTAAAATAACAGTGGACTGTCGAGATGCAATACAGGGGAGCTGTGATAAGCTACTGGAGGAATATGCAGACGTAACATAGCTCAGAAACAGAGCAGGCACACTTGTTCAGTAGTGTATAAAATTGGTGTGTGCGATTTCGCAGTTACTCCAACTGACTGGGAATTTACAACAACTGATCCGTAAAAACTAAAAAAGTGTGATCCCTCTGTGAACGAATATAAGACGTGTTTTAGATCGCTGTAATAAACAGTGCTGCGCACTTGTCGTCTTGATACAGAACTGGTGCAGTGCACTTAGATCGCTGTAACAGAGTTGAAAACAGAGCAGGTGCAGTGAACCTATTCGTGTATTGCTACACACTCCGGGCAGGATCAGCTGGGTACCTAGCTCTACTGATTTCAGGCAGCAGCAATTTACAGACCAGCGTCATAACCGTAAGAGCGCAATCCCATCAGCCGCCCAAAACTAATACGCCCGCTAGAATCCCCGAGCAGGCACGAGACAGAAGGTAGAACGAGCGAAGTGGGGGTTTGGTCCAAGGCAGGAGAGCCTAGCGTGCCCCGTCAGCGCGAACCAACAGGCAACAGGGCACGAGCGGTTAACCGGCTAGCTGGACCGGAGCGGGCAGAGGAGGGGCCGGAGACGAAGCGCGAGAGGGGATCCGATCGAAACCCCGGCCGGCCAGGGCGGGGGAGAGGGGGTTGGGGGAATCCGTACCGGCGAGCGGAGCGGAGCGGAGCAGAGGCTTCAGTCGCGGTCGCGGCGGCGGCAGCGAGCGATCGCCGAACTATTGTGGGGAAAGTGGGGGGAGGAAGAGGAGGACGACGAAGGCCGGAGTGAGGCGTGGCGTCACGTTTGCTTGCGCCCCGGGAGATTTTTTCCTTCCTTCCTTTCTCTTTTTCTTTTTTCTTTTTGTTCCTAGTGGAGGTGGTGGAGACGGGAGAGAGGAGATCTTTTCTACTGCCGCGACCGCCAGAAGCCTCTGGCTGCCGGGTTGGGTTAGGCGGAGGCCCTTGCGTCTCTCTCTCGCGGGGCCTACGATGGCCCCGGGCCGGGTTAGGTTTGGCAAAGAAGAGAGCCCCGTAGTTTCAAAAAAAAAAGCCCCCTAAAAAAACCATTCGCGAAATCTGCCTCTCGCGAAATCACAACCGTATCTCTCGCGGAAGCAAAACCATACATTTCGCAGAAGGAAAAAAAGAGGAGGCACGGCCGTGCCCCTAGCGGAAGGGGGGAAAAGAGAAAATGCGTTTTTTTTTCGTTTTCGAGGAGGCAGGGCCGTGCCTCTCGCGAAAGCACAACCAAGCCTCTCGCAGAAGCGAAAATCGTGTCTCTCGCGAAATCACAACCATGCCTCTCGCGGAAGGAAAAACAAGAGAGGCACGGCCGTGCCTCTCGCGGAAGGAGAAAAAGGAGAAAACACGTTTTCTTCCGTTTTCGATGAGGCACGGCCGTGCCTCTCGCGAAAGCACAACCAAGTCTCTCGCGGAAGCAAAACCTATGCCTCTCGTGAAAGAAAAAAACAGAAAACATGTTTTTTTCCGTTTCCGAGAGGCACAGACGTGCCGCTTGTGAAAGCACAACCATGTCTCTCGTAGAAGCAAAACCGTGCCACAGAGAACGGATTTTTTTTCGTTTTCGAGAGGCACGGCCGTGACTCTCACGGAGGGAGCGCCCAGAGCGCGACACGTGATCGTGGCGAGGCTCCCAAAAGAGCGCTCGTCAACTAATTGTTCCCCGGAGAACGGGTGCAGAATCCGTCTCGAACCGGTATGGTTGTGCACGCATCGGCATTAAACTTTGTACGTTCAGCAAAGCAGCCTGCTACGTCTTGAACACTGTAAGATTTCGGAAAGGTTTACACTGAACACTGTAATATAGAGTCTGATACAATTTCACCGTATATTTGGTTGGATGACCCACCTAATTTTATTCGTAAAGTTTCTAGCGCATGATTTGATTTAATAAAGCTAGCCATGAAGGTTTTCACGTCAACAACAAAAATTTGTAGTGTTAGCATCTTGGTTTACCCTGATGCCCTTCTCCGGTCCAGGCTCTTGCGTTATCGACTGAAGTCACCCCGGTTGTGTTTGGATAAATTAAAAAGAAAAGTATGTTTTTGTCCCTCAAGTTTACCAAAAGTATACAGCTAGTCCCTTAAAAAAATCAACGATATTTGGTCCCTCGGCTCTCAAAAACCGACCAAATTTCATCCAAAACCTGGTTTCAGTGGAAAACCGGCCACGATTGCAGCGGTTTTTTCTCTCCCACCCCTCTCTCTGTCTTGATTTATCTCTTGCCCAAGCCGAATTGGATCCAGGCGACGACAACCAACCCACCACCACAACCGTCGCCTCCCACACCTACCTGGCGGGTTCCAGCCATCGGTGAGATGACAACCCTCCGCCCATCCATCCATGTTGATCTCTCCTATCGCTTCCCTCCTCCGCCACTACGACGTGTCCTCCACCGTGCCGAGGAGAGGAATTACAGGCTTGAGACGAGATCTCGTCTACGACCCGTGGATCTCGTTGGAGGCTGCACGGAGAGGAGATTCAGGCCATGGCCGGTCCAGAGAGGAGAACCAAGCCATGGCCATCTCCACCATGCTCCAGGCCTGAAGATTACTCGCCAATTTCGTGGCCTCCATGAGCTTGGGTGGTCTCAACGTCGGCCAAGCTCAGCTCGATGCTGGCTTCCACCCCACCTTCTTGTGCTCGCCCCATCTTAGACGAAGGCGGTGGCCACACCAATCGTGTCGTGGGATGGCGTGCACAGGGAGCTACCTCCATGTTGTTCCTGTGTTCCCGCCGTGCCGCTAGAACACCGTCGGTTGTGACCCGACTCCTCCTACCAATCTGAAATGGGCACCCTGCCGCTTGCGCCGCATAGAACTGAGCCAAGGTGGGGGAGTCATAGGGAAAGAACATAGGTGAAAGCCACCGCCATAGCATTCACCACCGCCCTCGCTGTCGCGACTGCCGTCCCTGCCGTCACAGAAGGTTGGGCATGGGAGAGAGAGGAGAATAGGGTGTGTGGGGGTAGAGAAAGATAGGAAGGCGATGTGGGGTGGGTGACAGGTTTAACCAAATCATCCGTCTGACGTGGCAAGAGAGGATAGAGAAAAACCATTGTCATGTGGCTGGTTGTCCACTGAAACCAGGTTTTGGACCAAAGTAAACCGGTTTTAAGACTTGAGGGATGAAATGTCTTCCAAAAATTTTAAAGGACAAAGTGTATATTTCGGTGAACTTGAGGGACTAAAAACATACTATTCTCTGAATTTAAGGACCCATGGTTGAAGAAGTTAGATGAAAGGGTATGGTTAAAGAGCATTAATTGGGTAGTACCACCAAGATCAAGAACTAGGTATTTATGAAAATAAAACAATGAATATCGAATATTTTAAAAAATGTTCATCATGTGTTTAAAATTGTTTGTAGTGTACTAAGAAATGTTCATCGTGTTTTTATATATAACATGTTGGAAAAAATTATAATACGAGATGAATAATATTTTCAAATCCACAAAGGAATTTGTTGAATATTCAGTGAATATTTTGTGAAAAAATTCAAATAATCCTCATCGTGTTCTTTTAAGTGTCAAGGTACATTTTCCCTTTTCTTCTATTTTTCATGTTTCTCGGTAATAGTCACGATTTGGGGATTTTGAAGAGCAAGGAGTGTATGGAGAATCTAGGAACAAGATTGACACAAGGGATTTACCTAGATTCGGATTATTGTAAGCTAATCTTATCTGGATTATTAGTTCCTAGCATTTAAAAAACTATTGGGCTAGACCTTTTTTTTGCTAGTCCATTGTGATAGACTTTTATATGGAGCAGCAATGGATTCCACCACCTTGATCACAAGATCCGATAGACACAATTTCCACCAACATATGCCAACATAAGTTCTAGAACCCTGTGGAGTTACACATGAGCAAGACCCTCATTTACACGAGATTCTTCATTCATATAATGATAGGATAAAAGTTGAGTGTAAAATGGGAACAGAGAATTAACAAGCACCACATCATGTGTGTGATCCATCCTTTCACTTCTATAATTATAAATACAATTGCACCTAAACTATACTATACTTCCAACCATAAAAAATGAGTGTAAAATGAAAAATAAGAATAAGCGAGCATCACATCATAGATCATATACATAACAACTGTATAACAATAAATAATATGACTATTATTTTGGAAACATTGCTATATGGATAAGTAATAGAAAAACATATTAATTACGATTTAATATGGTACACTCAGTTTAAAATAAGTATAAAAGTTAAGTATAAAAAATAATTGTTTTATATCGAACTAGGTCCAAAATTCATAGAATCACCCATCGCTACATAGCATCCAACTTCGCTCTTACTCTTCTGTATAGGATACAATATGCAAGGTAGGCCTTCTGCTATAGTACGCATGCAAGAAGAAGGTTGCAGACCCATTGTATGCGTCCTTCAAGGTGGTTGTATAGAGCCGAAGGACACTCTGGCTTTCCATGGTTGTCTTGGAAGACAAGACTTATATCGGGGAGGTTGCAAATACAAAGCGTCTGTCAATTCAGAAAGTTGCTTCTGCGGCGACGTCCTCAATGCTGGAGGCAGGAGATGACTTGATGATCAAGTTGCTTCTTGCCAAAAGGCTCAAGACCAAGGTGCCCATGAGAAAGAGAGACCGAGATGCCTAGGAAAACGAAGAAGATAGATTGTACTCTCTCCGGTCCTTTTTACTCCACGTATTAGATTTGTGTCAAGTCTGTATAGGATATAATATGCAAGGTTATCCTTCTGCTAGAAGACGACATAAGAAGGTTGCAGACCCAGTGTATGCGTCCTCCAAGGTGGCAGTTGTCTTGGAAGAAAAG